AATACAAGTGCACGAATTTTTTAGGATCAACAAAAAATGAAACAAACAAGAAACTAGTATTAGAGCATGTGGGTAGACGGAGCACAACCAACAAGTCGCACCGGAAGGTGCCCCTATCGAAAAACAATGCCGATCTTTTCACGACAGACATGCCCCGCGATCCTGAGCCACGGGCGGAAAGTTCAAAAGGTGAACTGCGGTCAAAAGCACTCACTTCGAATGCAACCATTCACAGATTCCCACCAATTTAAGTTGACCGCAGTTCCGAAAATCCAGAAACCCGCTGCTCAAGAACTTGTACAAAGGATCAGGGTTTCCGAACCTCTTGGTAAGACAGTCTACGATCATCTGCTGATGGCTGATCCACTTGATCGCCGTGCCTGTCTCGCACATCAGCTGTCGAATGATCTGCATTTCGATCGCCGTCCGGCGGTCGTCTGCGGTCCCTACGGTACTCTTCACCAGGTGGTCAAACAACGATTTGGCGTCGACCAAACACAAACCTCGCTTGAGGGTGTCACACATCTCATCGTGTGACAGAGCATGCAACCTACGCTCCCTCACAGCCTTGTCCCACTCCTTGAGCTCGAAATGGGCATTGGTCATCTCGTTGTACACGGTGGCCGCCCAAGCCAACTCTTGGAGCCCACGTGCGAGGCTTTGTGCTTCAGCGGCCAGGGTTGAATTCACCACCCTGTGCATTTTGCCAGATCTCCAAAACAGCAAGTTTCCAGGAGCACATCCTTTCGTGATCAGGTCTTCCCGCTTGCGAGCTTCCTCCACCGGCGTTTGCCCACGAGGCGTCAGTGATGACTCCCAGGCACATTCGCTCTTCTTGGATGGGTTGGATTTGAATGCTGAGATCAGCATGCTTCTTCATCTCCTTGATGATCTTATTCAGATCCATGATGTCCTGAATCTTCAACTGGTTGAGGCATCCAACAATGAGAGATGCGCCTGCCGCTCCGTCAGGTCTTCCTTCTTTTGCCGCCCATGTGAGTGAACCCACCGCTGCTCGGGTGAGGGCCACTTCATCTTCAGAGGCAACTTCTTCTTTCTTTCTTCCCTTCTCAAGAGGCACTTCTTCCAGTCGTTCGTTGACATACTTCAGCATGTTGATGATGTTAGCCTCCATCGGGCCTGGCCCTGATTCTCCTTCCGTTGAACGACGCTCCATCTGGCTGCGATGCCAGATCCACGAACTTCCCGAAGTTAAATCGGCTCCTCAGCTCTTCCAACTTGTCATCATGCCTTTCGTCTCCAAAACACAGGAGGTCATCAACTTCCACGATGATGATGCCGTGGAGCTTTCCGTCTTCGCCCACATACTTGAAGGTGCATGGGTCCATCTCTGACTGGATGTATCCAATCTTAAGCAGCACCTTCTTCAAGGACTTCCTCCAGTGGGCTGGGGCGTCTCCAAGGCCATAGGCTCCTGCTAAGATCTCAATGAGCTGTCCCGGAACCATGTTGGGCAGGCCTCCTCTAGGCTGTCTGCAAAACAATCTTCCTTCTTCTCGAACCAGGGGGTCCGATTGCATGAACGCATTCCTGAGGTCCCCAACATAGGTCTTGAAGCCTTTGTTCGCTGCCACTTGCAGTGCAATCGAGATCACGGCCGTAGTGACCGTAGGAGCATATCGACTCAGGTTGAGCAAGTCGGGAGCTTTGTCTCCTCTGATCGGAGCTTCCCCTGGTTGGTCAGCTGGCTTCCATCTCCTCACAATCCGTGACGGGAGGATTCTTGAGCTCTTCTTGGCCTCTCTTAGCTGATTTTCCACCTCCAGGGATTCTTCAGGGGTTAGCGGTTTCACTGCCCCCGTATTGAATACCTTCTTCCATTCATCTCCATCTGCAATTCGCCACCTTGGCCATTCTTCTTCTGTGATGTTCTTTTCGTCGACCTCATCACTTCCCTTCTTGACCATCATTGCTTGATTCTTGATCTCCTCTATACCCACATCGTGCTTCAGCTGGAACTCGGTGTACCCAGTCCAACTTCTTGGTGGACCTGGTGACTCATCATTCTTCTTCAGTTCGCGCCAGTTTCCTTTCTGAACGCTGGTTCCCTCATCAAAGATCTTGATGGTCTTTCGATTCGACGTCAGGTTCCTCAACTTGAGAGGACATTCTTTTTCATATGGCTTGAAGGCTTGGGTGCGGTAGTTCACATGCCTTCGGATCAGTTTCCTCTTTGAAACATCGAGGATCCAATAGTCATTGGCATGCTCTTCTTCATCTTCTTCGTTGGGCTCATCTACATTCTTGAAGTAGAGTTCTGCGTCGTAGGGCCTCCATCGGATGTTCTCGAGCCTTTGCCGAATGGGATGATATGCTTCTTGCGCTCTTGAAGCGGGAATGGTTCCATCCAGCTGCTCATTCTGTATCACTGACCTGGTGGCGTCCTTTACCTGTCCGGGAGTCAATTTCTCTTCTTCGGATTCAGGTTCTTCTTCGGTGGAACTGGAACTCTGACTGGAGCTTCTTCCTTGACTTCCGTCGGGATCAGTGATCAGGTTCTTGCCGACTTGAACCTCCTTCTTCATTTTCTGCCACTCGAGCTCGAGGTGGCTCTTCCACTTCTTCTTCAGGAGGCCATTCCCATGTGGAGATGTCTTTGTATGCTCTCTTGCTATGCTGTCTCTTCATCGTCTCTCGAAGTTCATGGAACTCTTCTCTCAGCATTCCCAGAGCATCTTCTTCTTCTGGGGTGGCGCTTCTCACCTGTTCCATGGCAGTCTTCCAGAGCTCACCCCTCATTGAAATCCATGCATTTCTGCCTTCTGCCAAGATCATAGTGCCAGGACCCACCCAGCAAGGCCTGGTGGTAACCGCGCCTCCTCCTCGTCTTGGTAGTGGCTTCCGGTACACATAGACAATGTCACCTGGGAGAAATGTCTTGCTGACACGGTTCCAAGCGTGTACCGCTCTTTGGATTTCTTCATTGGCAGTTTGCTTGATGAATGCCTCCATGGCAGCTTGCTTGATGGCCAAGGTCCTCCTCACTTCTTCACTTGCTGCCCCACTGATGAGGCTAGCCTCCATTCGGTCATCACTTGCCAGACTGCCCGGAATGCGCACATTGCTTCCCAAATGTCGTTGCGCTGGAGAGAATCCTGATCTATTGAACAGTCGGTTCTTTGCAGCCTGAGTGGCATGCACACATTCTTCCCACTCTTTATCATCACGTGGGCTGACCTGCTCCAGAATTTTCACTAGGACTGCCTTTGCAATTCCTCCATGGCGCTCCGTGCGCCCGTTTTGCCATGGGGCCCGCGCTCCAATCACCCTGGTGATGATGCCGTTCTCGTTGCATTTGGCGGAGAACTCCCCGATGAATTCACGGCCTTGATCTGCCACCGCCATCTCCGGAGCTCCGAAGATCCTCATCCATCCTCGCTGGAAGCCTTGCCAGACGCCCATCGAAGAGAGATCTCGTAGAGGTTCCAAAACTTGGAAACAAGTTCCCCAATCGATGATGTTGAGCACTGGCCGACTCTCTCTGGGGTTCAAACCGGGCATGTAGACCACGTCCACCCCCAACACCTTGTTGGGTTCATAGAATTTTGGCATGGCTGAAGGTCGTGCGGCCTTAGGAGGTTGGTGGCGGTCACAAAGGTCACACCTGAACTCTTTCTGGATGAAATTCACCACATCTTCTCTTGCCCGGGCCAACTTCATCAGCCTCGTGAACGACTCTCTTGATGGATGACCTAGATTCACATGGAGCTTCTTCACCAGTTCCTTTTCACTCCTGCTGAGAGTACTGGCTTCTGGCATCTCAGTCTTCTTCTTGTCTCCTCCTCCTTGAGGACGTTCTTCTTCATCTTCGGCCTCTTCAGAGCCTTGAATTCGACGAGCTCGTATCCCCTCCTCCTGCTTCTCCACTTTCTCCATCTCCTAATCTAGTTCATCTTCTAGATCTCTCTCAGGAGGTTCCGATGGTGTGTACTCCATCGGTGCTTCTTCGTCAAATTGGGGATACGCAGATTCTTTCTTGGCATGTGCAATCGTCCTCATGTCTTCCTGAGCTCCTCTAATGATTGCTTGGCACAGCTCCTCAGGGTAGCGCTCAGCTCCCTTTGCTCTTCCGCCCACCAGATGCTGGTGTAGATGATCTCCTTGACATTGCTTGCTCAGGATCTTCTTCATCTCTGGTCCGTTGGTCATGAAGCCCGTAGATTTCTTGCTGAGTTCCTCTTCTGGTCGAACTCTCAAGCCAAACTGGCATTGATCTCCTCGAACGACCTCCACCTCGGGAAGAGAAAGGCAATACTTCACTGCTTCTTCTTGCCATGACCGATTTCCCCATGGGTGTTCGAACACAGCCACTCTTCCTCGGCGCACCTGCCAGGCGAACAGTCTCATCGCGAACTCCAAATGCTCCACCCCATCCTCCAAGATCAACATGGCTCGCTTGGTGTCCATGTGATGGTAGTTCCAAGCCTGGAGTTGGGAGAACGGGCCGCATGGTGGACATAGCACCAACACATCGGGATCCTCATCCTTGAGCCTTTTGAAGCACCTGCGGCGGTCTCCCTCTCGTCGGAAGTCATACCCGTTCTTGAGGTCGAAGGCGAGAGGGTTCTGCGCTCCTTGAGCGGCGGTGATCCTTGGTTCAGAGTACACCTCAGCAATCTTGGGTGTCTCAGTTCGATTCTTGTTCATGACCCGGAGAAGCCGCTTCCTAGTGCCTTTCTTCAAGGTCATCAAGGCTTCCTCAATCATGTCTTCTTCTTGAGGGACCTCCTTCATGACTTGTGCTCGGAGTTCTCCTTCAATGGGCAACGTCCCAGGCAAAATGCCTGGATGAAACTTGGACTCGTTTCCACTGACGATCCAGTAACCTGGTGAAACTCTCTTCTCCCATGCCTCATAGTCCCAGTCCTCCAACTGGGCGACATAGGCGTTGTTCAACATGCTTGCAGAACCAATGGGGACGCACCACGGGGCATTCCATGGTTCTGTCTTCACTTCTTCTTCTTCTTCTTCTTCCAAGCTCAGTTGGTTGGCCCCGCACCCTGTTCCTCGAACATCTTCTTGTACTCCTTGGCCTGATTCACAGTCTCCTGATGGAAGTCTGGGTCCGTTCGGGCCTGTTTTAATCTCTCCGGCCCGGCCACACACGACAGCCAGATCAGCTGGTCTCGTAGCTGCTGGGTCTCGGTGAGATGTGCCTGGTGCTGCTGCATCAGAAGAGCTTGTCCTTCCATCTGCGTCTTCACGGCGATCTCCTCGCTGCGTTGCCTCAGCTGCTCGATGCTGGCCTGCTTCTCGCTGAGCTCCTTCTCCTGCTCCTGCAACTTCTTCCTCCACATCTCCAACTCGATCTTCTCCTGAACGTCGGGCGGAGTCCCTGGTGGAGGAGGGCTCTGCATCGTCCTCATGGTGCCTGGGTTGTCCAGCTCTTGGAGCACCTTCACCTCGATGGGATCCCACTCGAAGTATTTGCATAGATGTCTGGGGCAGTTGTAGAACCTTGCGTGGGTCCCGATTTCTTCACGGTGAGTCTTTGAGCTGGGAGTTGACACAGGCGTCTCATGTCCCTTGGATTGGGTCCAGGCGAGGCGAGTGATGCTTGGCTTCCCGGGGAGCCTGGGATCACACTCCAACTGGCTGCACTGCAACTTCCCTGCGTCCTCCTCTGGGGAGTTGATGGACTCCACGTCCTGGCCTCCGGAGTTGATGGCATTGGACTGAATGTAGGCATGGCCACCCTGGTCATATTGTGGGACGGTGTCATCGGCGAGGGGATAGTCATAGTGGATGAGCTGGCCTTGCCTCCCTTGGCCGTCGGAGTCCTCTGATGCCACCTTCCATCGGGCATGGCATTCCTGACACCACACCTCTCTCTGCATGCATTTCTTCCCGCTCCACTGAGAGCGTATGTAGGATGCTCGCACTGCTCCATGGCTCTGGTTGGTGGCTTCATGCACTTCCGCTGACCCACAAACATTCCACACACTTGGACTTGGCGTGCATAGTCTTCTTGCTTCGCCGTAGGCCTGTGCAAGGACTGAGATGTTGTGGGCATCACTGGAAGCTGAATGGGACCTACTTGTTGAGGAGGTCCTTGAGCCGGCATCCACTCCGACAAAGGAGACGGCAATGACAGCATAACCACCTCCTGGCGAGGTGTGAGGCGGTGGATCCGCGCTGACTGGGTTGAGCACGATACGGCCCAGCTGAACCAGCAACTGGAAAACCCCCTTGATCATCTTGCGCCAACGAAGTAGCACCTGGGGCCGCACTTCCGCAGCTTCGTCGACCTCCATGCGGCTGCGCTTGCGCTGCTCCATGATCGCTTCGGGGGAAATGGTGATCACTCGAAACACGGTTCGTACCCAACATAGCTTCGGCGGCAAAAGAAAAATGAACGTGCCTCAACATGAACTCTTCTTGACGTCGGCCGACTTGTGCTGCCTCACTTGGGAGCTTCCATCCATCTTTTCCAAAATCACAAACATCAACTGCTGCGTGTCCACTATTCAGGGTGTTCATGGGCAAAGTCACATGCGCTTTCTTCAACACCAGTTGATTACCCGCTAAATCAACACATGCATGAAGATCACGAAGGAGCCAAACGGGGAACAACAAAGGAACGTCTTCATGGACGACTTTGCACTCCAGGATACCACAAACACCACCTAGACCGAGAGGAACTTCCACCACACCAGCCACCTGCGCTTCCCCACCAACGCCTCGAGCTTGAGCTTTCTTATCAATCCACACTACTCGTAGTCCATGATCCCTCAAAGAAGCTTCGAGCCGTTGGAGAGCAAGGCGTCCCACCAAACCGGATTGAGCCGCTGTATCCACAACACCTTGTTGGGGGGAGGTGGTCAACCCACAAAAGTCCTCAACCGAAGTGCCCTGGTGCTTGATAACCCGCTTGAAGAAGTGCCCCAACGTGAGCTGCCCCGATGAACTTCCAGCCCCTCTTTCCTGCCAAAAGGTCTGAGCGTCTGGGTGATGTGAGACGCTGAAAAAGCCAGAGCGTGCAGTGGATGCTCCGGAACTGGATTCGGAGGCTGTCTTGTTCTTGTAGCCGTCAGGCTTTCTTGTGCATTCTTTCGCCCAATGACCCACTTGGCCACATCGAGCGCACTTGGTTCTCAACTTCAGCATGTCGATGTGGACCCGCTTGCTCCCCGCGTCATTGCGAGCCCGGAAAGGGCCAAACTGGCTCTTTCCTTTCTTTCCACCACCTTTGCCACCATCTCGCGACCACTGATGTCGCTGTGTCTTCTGAGCTTGAAGTGCTCGACGGACCTCTTGGTAGGTTGCTAGGGCCTCTTGTATGTCATCTTCTTCGAAGACCTGATCGAGGTCGCCCTCACCAACCCACACATAGTCAATGCCTTCGTCATCCTCAATGAACGTGTAATCGGGGTCCTCAGGAGCGTCATACTCGTCGAAGATCACCTTGGTGGACTTTTCCTTTGTGACTTTCTCAAGCCGGCGTAGGCCTTTGATCACGGTGTCCCGCTCATAGCTTCCACTTCCCCAAGTGGTTAGCTGGTCCTCTTGCACCTGGGACAAGTTGGCCTGCCTGAAGATCACATAGCCCTTGACCTGGTCATTCAAAGTCACCCCCTCGTCCGCCAACTCGAAAACGGAGTCCATTCGAAGCACATAATCCTGGAAGGATTCCCGACTTTTGCGAGGTTCGCCATAGATGGCCTTTTCGAAGGCCCTTGGCAATGCAATCTCGGTGTATGCCCGGAAGTGCTCCTTCAACTTGTGGACAATGGCGATGGCGCCGTTCTCGGACATCAGGTCCTTTAAAGGCACTTCATCCGCTGCAGCCCGGGCCATACCCGACAATTGTCGGATGAATTTGACTCCGTGCTTCTCCTTCGGCGTCTCTATCTCGAATTGCCAGAAACGCTTGGGTCTCCACCGTCGAAGCTTGGTGGAGTATCTCGTTCTCTCCAACCTGAACTCGCGGCCGCTAATGCCGCCATCGACCGATTCGCGCCGGTCAAAGATTCGCCATCGCGCTCACCCATGGAACTAACAGAGCCGAAGCTCCGCTACCACGGAGCACAACCAACAAGTCGCACCGGAAGGTGCACCTATCGAAAAACGATGCCGATCTTTTCACGACAAACATACCCCGCGATCCTAAGCCACGAGCGAAAATTTCAAAAGGCAAAATGTTGTTAGCACATATTTTCCTATAAAACATATATTTATCCATAATATAATTTTGCCACTCAATCCGAAGATGCCTATAATTTCTTCGTATATTGTTCTATCATAAAAACGAAATAATTGCGGAGTAGCAAGTGGTAGCTTGCGCGAGCACTCGCGCAACGTGTAAAAACGCGCAGCGTGCAACACCTTTTTGCGCTGCAAGTGAAAGCTGTGCTTGGGCCAAGCTGCGAGCGAGACAGGTCAAAGCATATGATACCAAAGCTAGTCACTCACATCCCACAAAGAATGTGTTGACCTGTCGCAGCAAGGCACCGGAGGTGGCGCGGCCATCCTCAAAGCGCTTCTTGCGCCTTTCACGTTGGGCCCTGCGGAGTTCACGTCGATGCTCCTCCGTCTTGGCCTCTTGTGCCGTCTCCTTTAGGGAGAACACCCCCTTCTCGGAGAACTCATTCCATAGCGGATTCGCCATCCGCTTTGTCAGCCCATCGGCGTATTGCCGGTAGGTCGGCACCCACTTCAAGTGGAAGGTGCTCGCCTCCAGCATCTCTCGCGTGACCATCAGGTCAAGCATGGTCTGCCGCTCGGACGGCACCTGGCCGGTGGTCCCGAGGTGGTCATAGAGTGACCGGGCATCTGTCACCATGTAGCCTTGGACCGTTAGGTCCTTGCGCCAGTCCTCGCTCAGCTTGAAGCTGCCCTTCTGCAGCATCTGGATCAGCAGCCGAGCATAGAGGTGCCTGTCGATGGCCTGTGACATTGACGCCGCCTCGGCTGCCATCGAAGAGCGGACCACGCGGGTCGACTTGGAGCTCGCAAAGTCGATCACCGCCGCCGGCTGGGGTCCCTTTTCAACACCTGTGTTGGTGATGAAGTGGATCTGTCCCAGCTGGGACTTGCCGTCCTTCTCCTTCCCCAGTGACGCGTCAAAGAACGTCACCAGGCACAGCTCTGCAGGAATCCTGGGGTATTTGAGGGCGGCTCGCCCAGCCTCCTTTTCCTGGATCATGAGCTTGTGGACCTTCACGGCGTCCTGGTAGTCGCCGTGGGTAGCCCCTGACACCCGCTGCGCCAAGCGGCTGATCTCGTAGAGCAGGTGAGGCATCACCTGTTGTGCCGGCCACCTGAGCCTCATAACCAACTGCCGGAACTTAGTCAAGCCAGCAGCGTCCAGGATCTTCTCAGGGCCTCCTTTGACATCTCTGGCAGGCGGATCTCCTCCACGTACTTCTTCATGGAGTCCACGAGGATGTCACCACTCCTCTGCAAGTCCACCCCCAAGAACGTAAGTGGCAGGCTCTGCCATGCCTTGATGTTGAAAAGGCTATTGATCTGTGCCTTGAGGGCTGTAAATCTTGGGTCCGTAGCTGATCCCATCAGTAGCCCATCGTCCACGTGCAAACACAAGATGGCCCATGTACCCTTTCCATCCCATGCAGCGAACGTGGCTTTGGCGATGTCCAGCTCCTTCAAAGGAGTCTCAGCCAGCAGCTTGCAGGCTTTGAAATACCACAGGCGTGGCGCTTCCGTCAGGCCATATGCCGACTTCAACACACGGAAGAGCTGTCCGCCTGTCACCGCCTCCATTTGCTTGGTCCTTGGAAGACCTTCCGGTGGTGCCTTGACATAGATCTCCCGATCGGTGCGCTCACCGCTCAAAAATGCCGTTGTGACATCGAAAGACCAGAGCACCCATCCTCTCGCCTGAGCGATTGCCTTGGCGATCTTGGTGGCTGTGGCTCCCACTGTAGGAGCATCAGTGCGAAAACCACCCAGGTCTGGGTCACGATGACCCGGCACCACAAGCCGGGACTTGGCCACCAAAGGCAGAGTCGCTGCTGTTGCCTTGTTCGTGCGAACCATGCGGAGTGGAGCCTTGAAGATCTGGTGCCTTGGCACCTTCGTGAGCTCTGCCGGGAGCACCTTCTGCACGACCTCATTGTTCAACCACTGTTCCCATTCTTTTGCATCGCTGAGGTCGAAGGCTTTCTTCTCCTGCTCATTGAACCATCGCGGGTCGAGCTCTTTCCCATTTTGTTTCAACTTGAGGATCATCACCTCATTGACCAAAACATCCTTCAGCTCCTCCAACCACAACTGCTCGAACTCTCGCCTGTCCTTTGCCCCCAGGCAGGCTTTGTAAACTCCCGTGGGCAGTTGCACATAGGTGGCTTGAGGCTTCCTTCCGCGCCTCTTATAGAGCATAGTCATCCCCTTCCAGTAGAAGGCCACCTTTCTCTTAGGAGCTGCCGTCACTTCGCTCTCATCTTCGTCCACCACGAAAGCATCCATGGGGTCCTCCCCGATGAGGATGGAGAGTCGTGACCTGCTAATGGCCTTTGGTGGCCTCATCAGCCTCTTACGGGGCTTCCTGTGTTTGCGCGCCGCGCTCAAGGGTGGACCAGTCAGTTTCTTTAAAGTCTCAAGCTCCTGCCTGGAGACCCACTCGTTGTCTGGTCCGCCGGCAGCTGCCGCAGTCATGGCCTGTACGATCCATGAAGCATGGATCCTGGGCTTCTTGTTTGGCAGGCCTGCATCATCCTCCGTCAACTTCCGCTTGATGGAGATGGGCACGTCATCCATGAGGCGCTGCCTCCTGCGTTCAGGTTCTTCTTGCTGCCACTCCTGTCGAGCTGCTTCCTCCCATGTCTCATCCTCCCAGTCATCGTCATCCGCTGGTACTGGGATCTCATGGGGCTCCAAAACTCGCTCCACCGGCTCTTCTGCATCCATCGGTTCGTCCTCCTTGACCTCTTCACCAGGGTCTTCAGGAGGAACTGGGGCTTCTGTCGGAGTGTACTCCTCATCGACCTCCTCTTCTTTCTCCGGCTTTGCTTCCGGTTGCGGCTCCAATTTCCGTTTTCTTGAAAGGCGTGGAGCATGGATGCCCCGCTGTCTCAACAGCCGACTGACGGCCTTGGAGCCTCGCAACATCCTCCGAGCCTGCTTCCTCTCCGGATTCTCTGGCTCCTTCACCCTGACTCGCTTCCTTGGCCTGCTTGCTGGTGGTCGTAGCGACCGCAAGTCGTGGTAGGAGTTGCTCCTCGCCGGATCCCGGAGCACCCCTTGAAGATCAATGATCTCTTCCCTCACTGGCTCAGTGAGTGCCAGCTCATCCTTGGAAGCCAACCTCAGATTCTCCTCCGCCAGCAACAGCAGCCTGCCCCTCCAAGAAACAAAATACCTCTTGGTGGCCTCCTTGACTACCACCGTCGCTGGACCCCGCCAGGTGCCGCCTGGCTTATAGCGAGCTCTCTGGCTCGGGACCCAAAAGTAGACCCTGCTCCCTGGCATGAAGGGTCCCTGGGAAACCGCTGGTTTCCTGAGGATGGCTCTCCTCATCTTATCCTGCACATCTTGACGCACAAGCGCCACTCGGGCCGTGACCCTCATCCGATGTGCTCGGGCTGCTTCTGTCTCTGTTGACATACCTTCCAAGTAGCTCAGCCCAGGGTTCTCCTCTGTCAAGCTGGGCCACGTGCACTCCACCCCAAACACCCGTTGATTCGGAGTGTAGCCATCTCGAGTCACAGTGGATGCAGGCACATGCCAGTGCCTCCTTCATGGCCGTGTAGCCCTCAACGGTGTGCTCTGCCACCACGCTGTGAAGGGCCTGGCCCAGCAGGTCTCCATGGCGCTCGCCGACGCCCAACTGCCATCCTGCATGAGCTCCTGTCACCTTGGAACTTATACTGAACTGCTCCAAGAGACCCACAAAAGCTCCTTCGAATTCTCCTCCTTGATCATGAACGATCAACTCCGGGCTGCCATACGGCTGGATCCACTTGCGCAAGAACTTGGAGGCCACGTAGTCACTCCTGCGGGTCTTGATCATGTGCGCATCATGCTTGCAAGTGCCCAGGTCCAGAATGCTCAAAGCCGCATAGCGCTTCCCCCTTGCGTCCCAGAGATACTTCACGTCGATGTGGAGGGTCTTATTGAACCCATATGGCCTGGTGGTGGCGGCTGCTGCCTGTGGGTGTTTTGGCATTTGTCGTGCCATGCAAATACTACACTTCCACTTCTTGGCATAGCGGACGGCATCTGATGTTGCGCCACTCAACTTCATCATCCGTACCAGAGTGGACCGCGATGGATGTCCCAGTTGTCTATGGGCGAACTCCACCGCCTTCTGCACCTCCCTGCTGACCGGGTGCCTCTGATGCTCTTCTGGCTCCTCCTCCAGGTCTGAATCCAGTGGCGGTTCTCTCTCTTCACCATCTCCACCGCCATGCCGTTCCATCTCCATCTCCAGATCATCTTCCAAATCACGCTCTTCTTCCCCCTCTATGGCCTCATGGCCATCGATGATCTCCGGCATGGTGTCATCTTCCACATAGACCTGGTGAGAACTTCGGAGCCATTCCTCATAACCCCTCAGCAGGGCTTTGCATAGAGCCTGCCCATACCCTCCAGCCCAGACACTCAATGACATCCACTTGCCATTGGCCTGTCGGAAACCACCTTCAATGTGTTGATGTTGATGGCTTCCATCGCACTGGGCCTGAGCCAGGTACTTCATGGCAGACGTCTCACCCCTCATCCGTGTCCGCTTCCGGTGGGGGCATTTGGTAGTTGGGTGCCTTAAACCCAACATGCACTGGTCGAAATCGACCTGCCCAGCGCCGCTGAAGGCTTCCGCAATCTCGGGCGTCTTCCAGGCTTTGGACTTGGCTGGATTCTCCCCAAAAACCAAACGCCCCCGATTGCGCTGCCACAGCACCACGCGCCGCGTGAACCGTAGCAGGGTCCTCCTGGACTGCATCCTCCTCTGGTGTAAGGCTTCTCGCTGCTGGGGTGTTCGCATGTTGGCGTTCTGCATGATCGATCAAGGACCACAGGGCCATGCGACCATCACCACATCCGGATCCACCTCCTGCAGGTACCGGAATGCCTTTTCCTGCACGCCGGGGCTCTCCAGATCCCAACCAGAATCCAGCGTCACCGGCTCATACGTGCTCCACCCCTTATCGCATGCCACCTGAGTCAAGGCACACGTCCAGGTGAAGATCTCCAGGATCCGCCAAGGTCCCGGTCGCCGCCGGCTCATCTTCTCCCTTGGAATCTTCTTGTGGGCTTCCTTCTCCGCCACCTCCGACACCTTCTGCACCGCATCCAGCAAGCGACGGCGCTGTCCTTTGTTAAGGATCTCCGTATCGCCGGGCAGATCGGCCCCCAGCACATTGGCTTCTTCCTGGGATCCTTCTGAGTCCGTCTCTCCATCACTTGGCTCGTCTGGGCCATCCTCGTGGCTTGTCTCCGATTCTCCCTCACTGATGGAGCCATCACTCGCGGACTCATCCTCTGGCGCTGCCAGAGCCAGCAGGGATTCACCTTCCTGCTGTGCTAGCACATGATCCAGGCACATGATGGCTTCATCCTCCATGGTCTCTTGCCACATGGCCAGGTCATGGCATTCATCGGGATCTGCCGGCGCTGCCAGCTCCTCCTCTTCTGTTGTGTCCCCCGTCTCCTCGGGCCCTTGCTGTAGGAGCGCCAAGCTGTATGGATCCTTAAGCAGTGTCTCCTTCAATGCCGTCATCTCTGGTGTGAGCCAGGCTTCAGCCGGACCTTCCGGCAACACGCGAAGCACTGGATGACGGGTGTCTGACAATTGAGTCTCGGCCACATGGCCAGCGATCTCAGTCACACCTGCGTTGAAGTTCATGGAGACCCGCCATCGAGCCATTTCACTCGGACCAACCAAAGCTGGACATTGCTCCACACGGTGATCAGAGGCTGTATTGCAAACCTCCGCCAACCGGAGCCAGGTGACCTCACCACTGTCACCAAGACGGATCGGGTACACATAGGCCGTGGTCGAAATGACCGGCTCGCCAGCTCCGAAGCGGAAAGTCTCATGGTGCTGGACCACGAAGTAGGGCAGTTGCCTCTGCTTCAGCTCCTCCTGGAAGTTGCGATGCCAAATGGCACCTACTACCGCCGTCCGACACCCCGTGTCGAGGATCACTTGCATGGCGCCGCCACGCAACAACCAGGTGGGCTCTGCCTCCTCCTCGTCCATCATCAATGCGCCATGCTCCATACTGTAGTAGAGCACCTTCCGCAAGTGGCATTTCCTGCAGGTTGCCCAGTGAGCTGCTTGGTTCGCTCCCCACCGGAGGTCCGCCCAAGCGTGAGGGCATGCTGCCTGCTCTGCCGTCGGAACCTCGGATGCGTCCGATGGCCGGACACGTCCACGCCTGTCCAAGCTATTCTGGTAAAGGCCAATGCGGAACTCCTTCAGTCTCTTCTTCCGAACCGCATCTGGCAGCTTGGACTCCGATTGGGATGCCGGCGGCTCGCCAAGCGATCCCGCACTCGACGACGCTGCCGTCGCTGTTGAAGGTCCTGCAGCTGTGGGCTTCGGCTTGGGCTTGCTCGAATACGTGTAGCCTCCATTGCGATGTCCCGGCCGAGTCAACTTCTCCTGGTCATACTCCGGGATGTGGTCAGCTGCTGTTCCTTCAACCTCCTGCTTCAGGGCTTTGCACAAGGCCTGCTTCTCCACTGGCGACATGTGCGGCAGCACTTGGAGAAGCTCCTTCGGGCTCAAATCCAACTCCATGGGCCTGGATTCCGGAGCATGCTTCTTTGGTGACTCCTTGACCTTCCGAAGCCGCGTCTCCTCTTCCCGAGCTGCCTTGTACTCCTTCTTCCGGAGTCGTTGCTGAATCTCCTCGTCATCCTCTTCAGCAATCAGTGCCTCCAGCACAGTCTTCAGAGCCAGCCGATGCTTCTTCACCTTGTCGGCCTTGGCCTTCTCCGGGGTGAGCGGCCCGCTCGAGAACGGGAGCATGTCTTGTGGCTCCTCAGGTTCTTCCTCCTCTTCCTCAGGGGAGTCATAGGCCTCCAAGAGATCCCATCCGTCAGCTGAGAACACAGGGAAGGTCCAGTTCACCCGATGAACTCGTGCACTTCCTTCCGTCTTGACGGATGCCGGAGAGCCTTCTGCTGAGGTGAAGTTCACCTGCGTGCCACCAGTCCCCGGCTGACGGGGCGGGTCCTTCCCATTCTTGACATTGGGGCACTCGGCGTCGCCGTGCCAGTGGCCGTACTGCTTGCACGAAGCACACTGGCTTTTCTTCTTCCTTTCATCCGTGCTCCGGCGATCACCCTTGCCCTTTCCTTTGGAACTGCCATCCTTGCTCGAGTGGTAGCCTCGGGCCTTCCGCTGATCTGCTGACTTCTGCTTCGCCCTCCATCCAGAGGCATATGCTTCCTTCAGATCGTCCACGTCAGCCAGATCCTCTTCTTCATCTTCTTCCACTGAGAAGTGCCCCCCCATCGTCCTGCTCCTCTTCCTGCCAGAGGGCCTCCTGCTCCAGGTCCTCCTCATCCGCGTCGTCCTCCTCTTCCTCGTAGGAATAGGGTTCATCTTGCGTATTGGGCTCGACTGGCTCTGCCAGATGGGATGAGTGCTGACTGGACCTATAGGGCTTCCGATCTCCACCTCGCCGAGGTTGGAATTGCTTCTTCCGTGGAATAGGGGCGCGGCCCTTCTCATCCAGGATCCTGTAGCTGCTTCTGTCTCCTGTGGATGTCTTCTTCTCCTCCGTGTGCAGATTGCTGCAGCGAAACCTCATCACCTGCTCGATCTTGCTGCTGTTGTACTTGCTACCGCTGGAGAAGAAGATGTCCATCCTCTCGCGGCGTGTCAAAGCCGCCCGAGACAGGAGCCTCTGGGCAAAGGACTTGTCAGAGATCGTGGTCTCCGTGTCCTCCTTGAGGTATTCACCTCGAAGCCTCTTCAAGGTCGAGATGTAGGCCGCGATGCTCTGGCCAGGTGCCCTCCTGTATGCCAGATCCTCCTCTTGCTTCCGTTCGAAGCGTTCCTCGGATCTGGCGCCGAAGGACTCCTCGAGGAACCGCATGATCCGGCCTAAGCCTCCAGGCTCTTGCATCTCGCTAACTTCAAGTTGATTCAGGATTTGGCGCGGCTCTCCCTGGCAACTGAGATAGATGAGCATGGCCAATTCCGCATCCTCCAACTTGTAGAGATTCCTTTGGGCCTCGATGATGCGCTTCCAGTCGCGGTAGTGCGATCGGTTTCCCCTGAAGGTCTCGATGCGCACCTGGGACAGCGAAGGCTTGGAGTGATCGCCCGGCTTCCGCTCCTTCTGGAGGAGCATCTCCCGAATCTCCGAAGTCCGGGCAGCCGAGCTTGTCTCAGAGCCTTCCGAAGCTACCCTTCCTCCTCGGCGTCGCCGCGCCTTGGGCTTCGGATCTAGCCTTGCGGCCGGGCGTGCCTCCTCGGGTGCAGCTGGTCTCAACTCACCCTGCTCTTGCTGTCTTGGCCTCTGTTTGGCCTTCGCCTTGCCCTTGGCAGCCGCTCCGAGGGCTAAAGCGCTCCTCTCACTAGGCTCAACGATCGGGTCATTCGTTGGCCTCGATTCCTCCGGGCCAACCTCAGCCTCTTCCTCCTCCTCTTCCTCACCAGGAGGAGTCGTAGTCGCCCGACTCATTGCTATCTCCTGGCGGTGGTGGATTCACCCTCTGCTTCTTCTTTGGTTGTACTTGTGGAACCGGGGTTGATGAAGTCCCGCCGGAACCTCCACCATCCGGATTGGCTTTTGCCTGTGATGCAACTACCGCCTTCGGCGGAGGAGCTTGCGGCTCAGCCGGCCTTGCAGTTCGAGACACACATGGGGTAATTGGTCCCAGCGTCCATGCATGGCCACTCCAGTACTTCCAGCTGCCATCCGGTTGTCCGTACCAGCCTTCCAGAGTTGGATACATCGGTCGTTGCATCTGCTGGAACTGCATCTGTTGTTACAATTGCTGGGCCTATAGCTGTTGCTACTGTGCCATAAACTGCTACTAATAAGCGCTGAGGGCATTCTGCACGGCCTGGTTACTCATGTCTTACATATCCATCTCCTTATGCTTACCTTTACCCTAATGCTCCGCCGGCTCGTAGTTCCAGGAGTTCTTCCCTTTCTGTTAGCGTTCATCGACCTTCCTAGATACAAACCGTCCTTTAAACTTGCCCTTTCGAGAACCACCTTTGCTATTAAAACCGCCCTTATCACGCTTGCCTTTGTTTTTTGCCCTTTGGAGACGCTGCCTCATCGAATTCCCTACGAACTCTACTCTCAGCTCAATGATCGCTACCATCGGAGTAGGATAGGCGAGCTTCGCCATCATCCTCGGAGGTTTTCCAATCCGGTACCTCCGGGCCATCCGCCATGGCCCTCAACGGTCGCTAAAAGCGAAACCGAAATAACAAGTGGGAATTTGCGCGAATACTCGCACAACGTATAAAAACGCGCTGCGTGCAACACCTTTTTGCGCTACAAGTGAAAGCTATGTTTAGGCCAAGCTACGAGCGAAACAGATCAAAGCATATCATTTCAATTCTAATCCAATTACAAACATACAATAAACAATCATATTTTCGCGAATCTTAAATTTATATTCACGAACGCAAAGCCCACGATCATATCATCCAAAATTCTCGATATTAAAAATCCTTACAAAATCCTTTTCAATAATTATTATATATTAAAATTATATAATTAATATATACAAAAATAAAAGAACATAATTATATTAAATAAATATCGAATCGAATATATATATATTAATAAAATATAATCCCAATTAATATATTTAATAAATTATTTATTAATTTAATCGTTATAAATTTAATTTATAATTCCTTCATATAATTCATACGAATTACTAATATCATCATAGAATGAATCAATACGAATAATCAATATGAATCGATGTGATTTGAAGTAAATCGGTAAATTTGTCAATATTGGATTTAATATGGTTCTATGTATTTTAATTGAATTTTCTGTGATGTTTTTTTTTTTTTTCATTTGGCATTATTCCAATGATTGTTATGTGTGTGGTGCCTATCTTCGACGTTGATCCTTTCTAATCCTCCTTCACATTTGTTGATGGGGAATGGAATTGTCCAGATCTTGTCGTTCGGCATTGTTGATCTCTTCAATTCTCCATTACGCAGCTCAGGACAAACATGACGGCGTTCAGACTTGCGCAGCGAGGTGAAGAAGTGGCTTTCATGGTCTTTGTGTCAATTTGCATCAAATCCTCTCCCCAATCAGAACCAAATTCCTGCAGGGGCAGGCATGGGCTTCTTACAAAAACATCAATGCCTTCAAAACAATGAGAAGTTGGGAACTCATCACTAGTCCTGAAGGAATATTCTTGGGAGAAAGCTGCTAGCTTGCAAGTGATCCTCTGTTGACACTTTCTGTTTGTAGCCCATAAACGCAGGGTTGCAATCAAATTGAGAGCACGCCAAGACACATCCCTGCGGTCAATTTCCGCAAGTCTTCGAAGGATTTGGCTACCAGTCTCTGTGGTCTCTCGTTTCGTGATCTCAGTGCCTTGTGTTGTAGACTGTGAGTCTTCAATAGCGCGTGCGGGGCATTGGTTCTTTTCATTCTCCACAACCTTCCCCAGGACACCGAAATCACACAATGATGACCAGCCATCCCTCGGTTCCAAGCCCTCGTGCTTCAAATGACAACAGGGGCAAACCATAAATGGGATCTGCCTGCAACTTGCAAAATTCAAGGCAGCATCACTTAATCCACCACAAGCATGCAAAGCCACAACAAAATCAATATCAGCAGGAAGCTGCTCTGCTGCAGTGGCGAAGTCCATGTTGCAAAATCTGATGTCAATATGACGCTTTGAGGCAGCTGCTTGGCCAACTTTGAGGGAACTCTCGTTGGAGTCTACAACTGTCACTTTCACTCCATCGAATGTTGAGGCAATGTGGATTGCTAAGTCTCCACGACCGCCTCCGACATCAAGAACATGGCTGAAGTTGCACCTTCTGCGGCAGGCGCTCAAGCGACCCAAGAACCACCAGATTTGTGGCCATTTTTTACCGTGAAAATATTCAGACCTTGAGAGTGCACCCCGAGCGCTCGAGGCATCAGGCAAATCTGCAGAAAGGCTTGGAATATCAGGGACATCACTCTGTGGGGTCCATGAATCAGACACAACCTCATAGAGGTTTTTCAACGACTCTTCCATGCAGTCCAAAAACTGCATGTCAACTTTGCTTACCTTGGCCTTTCTCTGTCGCGCGCTTGGCGGAGCTGAGATCTGTCCATCTACTTCCATACCTCCGGTCATAAGAAATACCAGTTGCCGTAGTTCTCTCTTGTATTCAGGGTCGCCTTTGTCCTTTTGGTGCAACTGCTTCAAGTGTAGCAGCCTGTCTGAGCTGCAGCAAAGCAGTCTCGAACCAACATCCTCTGGTAGCACGCTGATTGCTACCGCCTCGACGACTTTTGTAATTTGCTTCACATCGGGCGGGATTTTCAGGAGCTGTAGTTCTGTTGCATAAATGGATAAAGATCCTGACCAAAGCAGTCAACGTTCAGCAACTCAACAGAGACAGCTGGCCTTTGAATTGATGCTGGCCGGTTTGCCGAACGATGAACAAGGGCTCTCAACATCTCTCAAATATCGTCCTGCACGGTCACATCCCGGGCATCCTTCGCACCAAACTGAACATCCAAGACCCACAGGCAACTGTGACAAACCTCACGGGCCAGGAGACAACCTCAACTTCTCAGTCTCCTAATGCGCGAAACCATCTTCACTGAATGACTCGACTTAGGGCATTTAGGCAAAGTACGGGCATAATCGCTACCTATTAATGGAAGGGGAGCCTTAAAACATGTAAGTTACATTTTCCCCAGGGGGTCCTGGTTTGACACGTAGAAATTGTAAAGCTTACATTTTTGAACATATATGTAGAAAGTGTAAGCCTACAATTTGTGAAATTGACGTGGAACATGTAAGCCTTACATTTTGAGTCTCGAATTCACGAATACTCTCGTTGTGTCACGTTTCTTCCACAGTATGTCTGCACAAAGCTGAAAGTCTGTGCCATCAAAAAAAATTGCTACAAACACCCTTCCTTCCAGGAATCACAGAAACTGCCAGCCCACATCACCCCCCCCAAAAAAAAGACTTAAGCTTCCACCGGTCAATCCCTGGGAAAGCCACCGGCCACCGGTGCAGTAGGGGGGTCCAACATACATTTGTGGGGTCCCTCCTAAATGTAAGTTATATACTTTTTTAAAGGTCCCCCCTCAAAACCCAAGACAAGGGGGTGGCGATTGAGCATGTACAATGTACAGGCCGCGTTTGATGCGAGACATCGGTAAATAACAAAAAGGCTGATTTGGAATTAGTTGGTTGAATCAAGTTGCTTCAACCCCAGCCATGCTCTCTTAGTGTCCCAACATTGAGCAAAGCAGAATCTGCTCAGGTCTTACAGTTGCTTTCGTAAACCTTGCAACTGGGTCATGTAAAATCCAGCCCTGTGGAACTACCGGTGTTGAATGAATGTCGAGAATCGATTCTATATACAGTTACAAAACGAAAACCCAACCTCAAAGGGCAGTTTGCCCCGCTATAGAATCATATATCAACCTCCTGCAGTGCTGAGAACCTGTTCTCTATAAAATGGTTCAGCTCAACCTGATGGCCAAAGAATCTTGATTGCAAACTTTGGGAAGTCAATGATGCAAAGCCAAGCTTGAAATTGATTCTATAGAGAAGTGGGGGACTTATGACGGTTGAAATTGATTTTAGCAACTGATTGGACAAAAGTGGCCCAAGAGGCTGGTTTTGATTAAAAACCATGTTTGGCCACTGCAGGGTTGAAATCGATTTTGGAAGAAGGTTAAGCAACCATGCAAAAAATCAGTCAATGTTAAACACATGATTTTATAGAGGGGTGATTGGACAATTGAAATCCAGAATGCTTTCTATAAATATCAAAAACTCTAGAACCTCTATAAAATATGGCGCATTTTCGTGCCTTCTGAATTTCTCTATAACATGGACTAGCTCAACCTATTGGGCATCAGCCAAACTGACCCAGTAGTGGCCCATCTTTTAAGACTAGTTTTTCTTTTTCAGGTAGGTTGAGATCTCATTCTATAGAAAAAGTGTGTATAAAATCTGAGGGTCATGTTGGGCTCGACCTCCCCGATTCTATAGGGTTGATTCAGCAGGGGATCTTATGGCAGCTTTTGGGTTGCTCACGTTGCACCTAGATCAAGGCAAGTCCAGGCACAGGCCGCACCATCTCGAGGGACTGTCAGGACTATCTGTACTTGGAAAGTGCCAACATCGACCATCAAAAACCTAAGCCACAGGCTTCATGGCGCCAGTGGGAAACGCTTTCAGATGGCCAAGAGTCAAGGTTCCAAGAAGCGCCGAAAAGAACGTGAAGCCTGCAAGAACGCCTTGAACACAATGAGCTTGCTCAAAATACTTAGTGTGTGAAGTTGTAGCATGTTGTAGCTTTGCACACTCGGCTTTCACAATCAATTCGTTTGAGGCACGTGGCACTCTCGTGGCGGCGTCCTTGGAACGCGACAACAGCAACACGATGGCCTCCAACCGATGGCGCTTAAACGACATATGTACTGAGTCCTGTTAAATCTTCTTCGAGTTCCATGCTTCGTACTGAGCCAAGAGCTCCTCACTACAACCCCTTGGCACGAAATGCCTGAGGCATAGTCCACCTGCCATCATGTGCAGTGGGCACGAATAGCAAACCCAGCCCCCAGCTGATATCCTTTGCACGACAATGGATGGACATCAAGCCCAACCTCTCCTTCGGAGAGTTTCGACAGCAGCTGCTCTGCCAGAGCTGCATCTAGCATGTTGACTGACTTGTTCAATCTTCTGTGATTGCTGCAATCTGATGATCGTCAGCCCTGAAAATGTCCAGAGACCAGTTCTGAGCTTTA